ACTCAGCTCACCCATCTGGCCTGTGCAGAAGACAGACGGATCTTGGAGAATGCCTGGATTGTTGTTAGCATGACCAGGTAGAGACCCTTGCAACTCCAAGTGCTTTCATTGCTTCAACAAATGAACATATCCTCTGTCTAAGCACATGTGTCAAACACAAGGCCCGCGGGCCAAATCTGTCCCTCCAGGCCTTGCAATGTGGCCCGCACCGCGCTGTCATCACTGCACTCCGCTGCGTTTCCATCACAATGACAGTTTATGACTGTTCAATAAACCATTCGGCCCGCGATTTAGGCTAGATTTTAGATTTTGGCCCCTTCTCTGATTGAGTTCGACACCCCTAGTGGTAAACTCAGCTTTTTTCCTTCCCATGTAAGGAAAAATCCAATTCTTCCCTACTGTGTCTTTCTTTCCTGAGAGTCTCCTTTACTACCCACACAAAACACTTCACTTCTGGTCACCAAATGTGTGGTGGTTTTCCCTCACACCAAATAATTTTCTGCAACATCAACTCAGTTCTGACACTATCTACTCAGAAATAGGGTCAGATACCACAGGTTAAAGGTTCAGTCTTACAAGACTGCCCTCACCCCACTCAGAAGCCAATCAAAAGTTCAGAATGTCACCTGAGCTTCTGACCAACAGGCTATAGTTTGTCACTTGAGTGTCTGACCAACAGGCTATAGTTTGGTGGTTCTAATGACTTCCTCCTCAGGTTCAGTTGGTTTGCTAAAGTGGTCACAGAACTCAGAGAAACATTTTACTTACTTTTACTGGTCTATTATAAAAGAGTATGATATACAGTTGAACATCCAGGTGATAGGAATGAACAGGGAAAGATATGTGGGAAGGGGAATGAAGCTTCCATGGCCTCTCCAGGCATGTCACTCTCCCAACACCTCCACATGTTCACCAAGCTGGAAGCTCTCCAAACCCCATACTATTTTTATGGAGGGTCCATCATATAGGCATATGAAAATGGATAATTTTCAGCCTTCTCCCTTGGCAAGAGTTGGAGACAAGGCTGATAAAGCCAAGCGTCTGTCTAATCATGATTCTGTCTTTCTGGTGACCAGCCCCCATCCAGGAGCTCCCCCAGAGTCACCTCATTAGAACAAAAGACACTCCTATCCTATAGAATAGAAATTATCAGAGAATACACACATAATACAGCAGTGTGTGGTGTATGACTGTGTTAGCAGTATACATATATTTGTTGTCTAGTGCCTGACTATGTGTATATACTGGATAACAATGTTTTTTCTCCCAGAAGATCCTAATTAATTTTCAAAGAAGAGGAGGGGAAGAAGTTTGGTTTCTGGCTCTCTATCTCTCTCCCTTCCTCTCTGTAAAAAATCAATAAAAAATATATTAAAAAAAAAAAAAAGAAAGAAAAAAAGAAACTCTCTGTTGCTTAAAGGAGTACGTTCATTGAAGATGTAACCACCAACCACGTAATCACTGGATCATGAATAAGCAGGAGGGTGGGGCAGCAAGCTATGGGGGCGGGAGGAGGGGCAGAGGGAGCTCCAGGAGGGTGGGGCAGCAGGCGGAGAGCTACTGGAGGGCAGCAGCGAACTACTGGCAAGCTACTGGCACACGGATTTGTGAGCAGGACTACTAGTATTTGTAATAAAATAAATACATAAATAAATAGGAAATGATCCAAGTATTTCTCAACATCATCTTGAAATACTGTGCTATAACAATACAATGCAATGTTATATCACAGTTAAATTGAATGGATTAGAGCTATATGTAAAAACAAGAATACCGTACATCTCAATAAGGATGTTAAGCATAAAAACAAGTTGCAAAATGACACACTCATTAATACCCTTAATATAAAGTTCAAAAGCATGCAAAAGTATATATGGTTTCTGGATATACATGGTATGTAAAGTATAAAAGTGGGCATGGGATTGGTAAATACAAACTCAGCAAAATGGTTACCTTTGAGAAGAGAAAGAGGAAACGCCATGGGGAAGGGATATACTAGGCTCTTCAACTGTACATGTTTGTTTCTTTTTTCTTTTCTTTTTTTTCTTTTTCAATTTTAAAGGACTCGGTTTATTAAAAAATAACCATGGTAGATACCTTAGTTCATCCTTCTAATAAGCCTATTGATCTGGTCTTCCCTGTTCCTAACATCTCTCCACCTTCTACAAAATGGGTGATCTTCTTCATCCCACTTGTAGAGAAGATAACTTGAAGGGCCACATGAAATTGTCACTTCTTTGAAGCGCTTTCCAACATTGTAGATCTCATGAATCAGATCTTCCATGCAGATGATGCCATACTAAGAGATCAAGCAATCAATGAGTTATTTGGCAGGGTAATTGGGTTTTTGTTGATTTTGCCAAAACTACGCTTGTAGATCAACTCATTTACGGACTTCAGGTTTGGGTACCCCATGCAATGTATGGCTCCACAATCCTCAGCATGGTCATGGAAGCCTTGTTGAGCTCAACAAAGGTGCCGTTGAAGATCTGGTGAAGGCGAAGAAGCTGCAGCACCTTTCGGACCTTTGGGCTCACACGGTTGATACCTCTGATCCTGATGACAAATGCCAATTTGGGTTCAGCAGGTACATAGAAGTTACCAGTTTTTCTTGCCATCCCCAAGCCATTCAAATCTCTGTTCTGTATATCTGCCTGTATTCCTTGAGATAGTGCTTAGCTTTTTCATTGGTTAGCTTCCTCCTTGCCTTTCTAAGCATCTTTTGGGCAAAGCTTCTTTCTCAGGAGCTTGAGCTTCGGCTTTGCAAAATTCCTTTGCTTTTTCTTGAGGGTTTCTGGCCCAGCAGGATGATGATGATGATGATGATGATGATGATGATGATTACTATCCTTCTCCCTCCATGTTTCCACCCAGAAAAGAGGAAGGCAGTGCATGCACCTACATATTCATTTCTTAACCCGGAAGAAGTTATATTATCCTCAACTTCTCTGAACATTTCATATTTATTAAACTTTGCTGACAAAAAGGGAGAGGGAGATGGAATTTTACAGAGTTAGGTTTAAATTTTGTCTCTAATACTTACTGGGAATGGAACTTAGGGACTTCCTTAGTTTCTCCAAGCCTCTGTGTCTGCGAGAGGACATCATAATACTAAATATCCTGTTTCACATTCAAATTACGTGAAATAATATGGATAATTTACTTATAAAGTGCAAAGTGCTATAGAAGTATAAGCTGTAATTTTATAAGAATGCTCCACAAATTACAATTATTACAAAAAAACTCTTAATGTCCCTCTGTTAGATACTCTCATAGAACCTTGTTCCTTTCCTTAAAAGCACTTCCCTTCACTTGCAATTATACCCACATTAACACTACTGTGTGACCTGGCATCATTCCCACTCCACAGCTTTGGGCTCATCATTACATTCCCCAGAGACCAGCACAGTCCCTGGCCCATACTAAGTTCTCAGTGTTCTCTGTTATTTCTTATTGAATTTATTTGGGCAACATTGGTTAATAATATTATATAGGTTTCAGGTGTGCCATTCTATAATACATCATCTGTACATTATATTGTATGCTCACCACCCCAAGTCAAGTCTCCTTCATCACCATTTATCCACCCTGTACCCTCTTCTACCTCCCCCACACCCTTTCCTTCTGATAATCACCATACTGTTGTCTGTGTCTTTTTTTGTTTTTGCTTAATCTCTTCACCTTTTTCATCCAGCCCTGAAATCCTCCTCCCATCTGACAGCTGTCAGTCTGTTTTCTTTTCTTTTTCTTTTTTTGTCAGTCTGTTTTCTATGAGTCTGTTCCTATTTGTTAGTTTCTTTTGTTCATTAGATCCCATCTATGAGTGAAATCACATGGTACTTGTCTTTCTCTGGCTTATTTCAGTTAGCCTAATGCTCTCCAGGTCCATCCATGCTGCTGTAAAAGATAAGCTTGACACTTGGGCTGCTTCTAAATTTTGACTATTGTAAGTAATGGTGCAGTGAACATAGGGGTGCATATATTCTTTCAAATTAGTGTTCCAGGTTTCTTCGGATAAATTCCCAAAAGTGAAATCACTGGGTCACAAAGCAATTCCAATGCTAATTTTTTTTCTTTTTTTTTTTTAGGTTATTCCATACTGCTTTCCAAAGTGGCTGCACCAATCTGCCTTCCCACCCACAGTGCACATCCTCGCCAGCACTTCGTTAGTGTAATCTGAACAGTGGTTACCTTTAAGGAAATAAGGATGAGAAGCAGGATGGAAGAGAGGGAAATACTTTTCTGTTTTATCAATTCCTCTACTGCCTGAACTTTTATCATAAGCCTTCAGTAGTAACAAAAGTCGTTTAATGTTTAATGAAAATCATGATAAAAATCGGCCTATCTTAATGTCACCGTCTCTCGGGGAAGGTCACGTTTGAATGTAGAAAATTACATGACAGGGGTGCATGGAATAAAAGGAGCAGGCCAATAAGTGTTCGGGGCGCTGGGCTCTCTCCCAAGACCCTCCGGCGTGTCTAACGGTTTAAGAAGGGCCCGGAAGTACCGTTAGGAGGCGCTCGCGAGGCCGCAGCAGAATTTCCCGCCCTCCCCGTTACATGCCCCAGTAACCCCGGCGCGCCTGCGACCGAGAGTAACCCCGCGGGCGGAGGGCAGGCCCCCCCGCCCCCCCCCCCGCCCCGACTCTCGCCTGCTCCGTCCCAGCCAATGGGAAGGCGGCGCACGAGCCGGCCGGACATTCGCCCTCGCCGACTCCTCCCCTAAAACAGTTGGAACCGAGTTGTGCCACCACCTAGCCTTCGGCGGCAGACTTTTCCAATCACTACTCTGGTTTCCGATTCCAAGCCCCGCCCTCCCCCCCCACCCCCGCCCGGGGCAGCACCCAGTTCATTCTGGGCCCGAGTCACCTTTGCATTTACACACGTTCCGCCCCGCCCTCTGCCCACCTTGGGGCTTTAGGCCCCGCCCCCGGCGGGGCGGACCAATAGGCGGGAGCGCCGGGAGCCCCTGGGCGGGTCCGCAGCCAATGCGCACGCCGTGGGCGGGCTCCGGGCCGGAATTGGGGGTGAAGCTACAGCGCCGTGCCCGCATTTCGGGGCGCACGGAGCTGAAGGGGGGGTCCCTTGGGGGGGGCGCCCGGAGCTAAGATGGCGTCTGCTGCTGAGGGGGACGTGGGGGCCGCGGTCGGGCTGACGAGGGTGCTGCAGTGGGCTTTCCAGGACCTGAGCCTGAACAACTTGGCGACGTCCCTGGGCGCGTCAGAGCAGGCGCTGCGGCTCATCATCTCCATCTTCCTGGGTAAGGACCCTCGTGCCTCCTTCCGCCCTGTCGCCGAGTCCTTGGGGGACGGGGACAGAGCCTCCCCCCGGCTTCCCGGGGCCAGCCTGGAGGGCTTTGGTGGGGTGCATGTGTGAATGCTCTAACACACACACGCCAGCCGGCTCTTTATGGAAAGACAAGATCTTGTCTGGAGTCTGGGGCTGCTGTGCCCTCTGAACCTCTTCACCTTTCCTTCCCTTCGACCCCAAGCTGTACCCTTCACTGGGCGCCACCGCCCTCCCGGTGTCCCCACGACCTCTCCTTATTTGTCGCTCGTGAGTTCTCTACTCTGTGGCCATGTGCACTGCTGCCTGTTATTCAGGCTGTATCAGCCCTCGCAGGCGCGCTCCTTATCGGCAGCTTAGGCCCCCTCCCCTAACTTAAGTATTTTATGTGAGCCCTGAGAGCCTCCGCAGCCCCAAAGGGGAGTCTCTTGTTTTGGGCAGTGCCCGCTTGTAGTACACTTTTCATCTCTTTCCTGTCCCATTTCTAATATTTGATTCTTAGACCATATGACTTTTCTTCTCCTTAACCACCCACCTGTCATTTGCACCGGAATTTCGTCTTAATACTGGGCTGGGGAAACAGGGCTGACAAGCCCCTTATAAACTATCCATGCTACCCCCAAGCGTTCATGACGTGTATGGTTCAAAGGATGTGGTGTATCCGAGTTTGTGTTACCATGAGCTGTGGTATCCCTGGTTTATTGGCTTCTTTGCTGCTTCCTTCCTCCATGGTTTTTTTGTTTTGTTTTGTTTTTTTAATATGTGGAAGCAGCATGCTGCTTAGAAATTGTGAGACCCTGGGCAAGCCACTTCACCTCTTCGGGCCCCAATGTTCTTATCTGTGGGATGAAAACTATGGTGCTTCCTTGATAGGATTGCTGATAAATCCTGTAGGAATGCAAAGGTCAAGATTTGATGTGTAAGTATCTGAGTGGTTGGAAGGTTTTATGAAGGTTATGGGACTTCAGCTAGGAGAGCAGGGGTGGGGAAGAATTAAGCAGACCTGGGAAAAGAGCAGAAGGTTAGAGGACTGAACAGAAAGAAGTTTGAGATGAAGTTGGGCAGCTGTGGAACGACTCACATGCCAGAAAGAAGTTTGGAATGGATCCAGTAGTAGTCAGTAGAGACACTGACATATAATATCACCGAAGAGTGCTAACCCAATCTAGATAATGGAAGCGGTATTAATTCATATTTAAACAACCTTGGCGAATATCATTTCCTTTTGCCTATTATATATCAAACCAAGATGATCTTTATTTCTTCCAAATAAAGGTCGCCTTTTCCTTCCCTTGTAGAATTATAAAATTTTAGAGGCGGAAGGGGCGTTAGGTTGTGTGGCCTCAGTATTACCCAACCCAAATTTATCAGCACCCCTATGAAGGGTTCTCTGTGCCACGCTATCTTTTAACTTCCCACTCCTTCAAACTTGTTTCTGACCCAGTTATTTGTTGGGGTTGGGGTTGGCAATTAGGAGTGTTTACATTAGTTAGGAAATTCACTGTTGATTTCTCAGCTATAAATACAAGTAGCCACAAATTATAAGGGATAGCCTATGAAATGGAGTCAGAGCTGGAGTTAAGATTTGGAATTCCTCCTTTTTGTGCTGGTGGTTTATTGCTATGAACTATCATGGGGCATACAATTGACTGGGAAATAGTTTTGTCTATACCATATCCCTCCTGACCCATGGTAAGAAATATGTCTTACCTCATGACCCAGTACACACACGTGTAAACATGTATTTTATTTATTAAATCCTTACCCCAGGATATGTTTTTATTGTTTTGTGGTGGGGTGTTTTTTATGGGGGGGAAAGGGGGATAGAAAAACATCCATCGGTTGCCTCCTTTATGCCCCTTGACTGGGGATTGAACTGGCAACTTGACCTTTTGGTGCACGGGATTATAACTCCAAATGAGTCACATCAGCCAGGGATAAACATGTACTTTAAACAAAAGTTTCAGGAAACACTGCTTATCCTTATCGGAGGCAGTGTGTTTAGCTATTTTCTCTTTTATTTTTAGTATTGTTTGTGACTTACTAATTGATTTCATGACCCATTTCAAGTAGCTTGAAAATCTCAAGTTAGGGACTGTAATTTTTAATATTCAGTATTTCAAGGAAAGGGCAAGCAAGCTCCCGAAGACTGCCACTTTGGAATATTGTGAACAGCCAGGAGACTATCAAAGTGGTGGGTGTGTGTCTTGTGTATGATTGCAGGGAATTTAGTGGAAAATGAATTTTTTTATGAGCTCTGGTGTTGGCAAATGCTAGTGGGAAACATCTTTTCAACAACTTGGGTCTCGTCACTTTTATGCATAATAACATGAATTGTTTCAAATAAGTTCAATAAAATATACCTACAGTGAGTGAAGCACTATGCTTGACCCTGCATGGGCAAGGGCAGTGGTGTAGTATGAGTAATAGACCTACTATGCACTCAAAGGTATGATATTATATGCAGTCTGTTAGTGGGTAGAAAATGGCCACGAGGTTAGTGTTCTAATAACCACAATAAAAGGCAGGTATCTGAGGGCTGTAAGATAATCACCAGGCCTTATGAGATTTAAAAATCGGACCTGTAATGAACTTTGAAAGTTGAGTAAGGCTTCAACAGATTGAGATGATAAGACTGAAGGAACAGTATGAGTACAAGACTAAGGTAATAATGTGTCATGACACTTTCAAGGAGCAGCAACCAGTCCGGTGTGACTAACGCAGGACTTAAGTAGAGAAGTGGTGGAAAATAAGACTGGAAAGGTAAGGAGTTTGTACTTAATACAGTGAAGGGTAATTTGAAGTGGACAAAGATAAGAGATAGGAAAACTAATGAGAAGAAACACAATCTAAATAGTTATAATGATTCAGAAGGAAGGCAGTTGCTCTATGAAGGGAAAGGAGGGTAATTTTCAGAACACAGAATCTTTTGAGAGGTAAACTATGCAATTCCACCTGTTCTTGTCAGAAACTCAAGAATCAATCTTGTCGTCGAGACCGGTTTGGTTCAATGGATAGAGCGTCGGCTTGGGGACTGAAGGGACCCGGGTTCGATTCCGGTCAAGGGCATGTACCTTGGTTGCAGGCATGTCCCCAGTGGGGGGTGTGCAAGAGGCAGCTGATCGATGACTCTCTCTCATCGAAGTTTCTAGCTTTCTATCTCTCTCCCTTCCTCTCTGTACAAAATCAATAAAATATATTAAAAAAAAAAAAAAGAATCAGCCTTGTCATCTCCCCACATCCCAATCACTAAGTCCAATCAATAGTACCTCCAAATTGTGTCTCAAATATATCTACTTTTCTCCCATCACCACAGACACTGACCATGAGTCACCAGAACCACCCAAATAGTCTCCTGAATGGTCTCTAATTCTGTACTTGCCCCCTTCAGTCCACTCTCCGAAAACAGCCAGGGAGGTCTGATCCTAGCTAAGAACCCTTCAGGGGTTTTCATATGTGGCTTGTAAGCCCCTGCCTGCTGCTGCAGCCTCAGCTCAAGTAAGTTCACAACCTTTTAACTACTTGGCCTCTTTTCAGTTTCTCAGGGGGAAAAAAAACAAAAAAAAACCATTAAGCCCTTTCCTACTTCAGAGCCTTTGCGCCTGCTCATCCTGCTGCCTAGAAAGTTCTTCCTTTATTACTCACCTGATAGACTCCTTTTCCTCTTTCAAATGGTCTGTTCAAATGGTCACGTCCTCTGAAAGTTCTTTCCTTTAAAGTATGTCCCTTGTTGCACTTCCTCATACTGACGGAAATCTTCCAAGTATACATTCTAGTTTGTCATTATGTATTCGAAGATGAGGATAGAAAACATGCAAGTTTTGTTTACCACCAGAAAAGGCACAATAAATATTTGTTGAATAAGTCAATGTGTGGGTGAATGATTTAGCAACTGATTAAATGAGGAATAAAGATGTTGTTAAAAAACAAAACAAAAACACTTCTGCCCATCTGCCTGGGTAGCTAGGAAGATGACAGTATCTTTCACATATGCAGAGAGGTCAAGAGGAAAGTCAGATATTGTTCTGTGCCAGGTAATAATCTAATTTTAGATTTGCTTTAGGTTTTAAGGGCCCCTCTGTTTTGAGAAATGTGAAGCCTAGTCTTAAGTTTAGGAAAAAAGTTGGGTTAGCCCTAGCAGGTGTGGCTCAGTGGATAGAGCATCAGCCTGCGGACCAAAGGGTCAAGGACATGCACTTCAGTTGCAGGCTCCTTCCTGGCCCTCCACTCCAAGTGTTTCACATCCGATGTTTCTCTCTGTCTCTCCCTCTCTCTAAAAAATCAATGGAAAAATATCCTTAGGTGAGGATTAAAAAAAGAAGAAGTTGAGCTAAAGATACAGTTTTGGCCGAAACCGGTTTGGCTCAGTGGATAGAGCGTCGGCCTGGGGACTGAAAGGTCCCAGGTTCGATTCTGGTCAAGGGCATGTACCTTGGTTGCGGGCACATCCCCAGTAGGGAGTGTGCAGGAGGCAGCTGGTTGATAATTCTCTCTCATTGACGTTTCTAACTATCCTTCTCCCTTCCTCTCTGTAAAAAATCAATAAAATATATTAAAAAAAATAGTTTTGATGTCATAATTGAATCAGGGAGGGAATAAAATAAAGCTTTTAGGAGATAATAGAACCTAATTCGTGTTGATGGAGTACATTGCTACCTCCTTTTGTTGATAAAGATAGCTGACATTTATTAAGGGTTTGCTACCTACCAGTTTCAGACATTGTTATAAATGTTGAACAATGCCCACCTAAACCTGCCAGTTACCCATAAGATGATTACAGTACTGTTATCTCCTTTGTGCAAATAGGAAACATCTTTAGAGGTTAAGTGACTTGCCCAAGGTCACACCCATTTCTACCCAGTTCTGGAGTCCTTGCTATTTACTTAATGCGAATTGGGAGGAGCATGTGGGAGTGGGAAAGATAAATGCCCTGATATCCTTTTCTCTCTTCACTCTGTGTCGTTCATTAAACCA